GTTTTGGCCTTAGAAAATTAAGGGTTTTGAATCCTGAATTTGAATATGTATGTATTCATATTAGGTGTATGACTTTAGGCCTAGAAGCTATGTGACTTGACCTTTCCAACCTTGTTTTCTCGAATGCAGAAGAGAGAGAATGCCTGCCTAGGAGGGTAGTGTTGTGATGGTTAAATGAGATAATTTATGCCAAGTTCCTGGCATAGCGTATTTCACTTGGTAATTGCTACCAGCTATACTTGTTGTTCTTGTTATCATTGCTGTTAAAAAGTATACTCTTCTCCTGAAACGAAGATATGTTGAGCACCTGCCATGTATAAGGTTCTGGATGGCTCAGATAACCAGAGCACTCTCTCGCCTGCCCTTTGCTCCTCAAGCCACAATCAACTCATTTGCAGTTCTTCTAAGGAGCCATGCTTCCTCTCCTATTTCTGACCTTTTGCCTATTGCTGCTTCTGTACCTGGATATTCCTTTTCCCTGTTCCCTGTTAACTCTCAACATCGTTAATTCCTGCTCCTCCTTCAGGGCCCCGTGTTGATGTCCCCTCCTCCAGGAAGCCTTCCTTGATACATCACCAGCAAGGTTGACACATGTGCCCCTCCTGCATGTTCTCACATCCTTTAACGCACCCACGTTATGGTAGAAGTTATCATAGTGGATGAAATTGCTCATTTCCATCTATCTACACTACTAGCCCCTGCCTAGAAAAGAACATCTTGTCATACTAGGTCTCCTGGTTTTCTGGGCCCAGGGCAAACTGCATTGCCATCTTTCAGGACAATCCTTCATCCCTGCACAGACCCTTTCCAGAAATTACTGGGGACTCATAACCATAGGCTTCTCAGGAAGTTCCAGATGAAAAGAGCTATCTCTGCTCTTTGTAAATATTAGAAGGGAAAATTATGGGGAAGGATTCTTTGCCCTTTATAAGGGGAGGGGGTAGAGCATCAAGGAGAACTAACATTTAAAAAGCATTTACTGTAACATGGGATAAAACAAATGAGTAATTGTATGATACTCCGATTCTGTCATTGTCGATGTTACTGAGAACCAGTATTCTCAGCATGGAAGAAAGGAAATTTAGGTGTTAATCTAGTAGAGATGAAATTAAAATCCTATAGTCCTAATTTTGAATTGATTATGAATTAAGGATGTGTTTTATTTTAAAAAACAAACAGTTGCCTGAAGAACAGGATGGGGTGGGGAATGGCTAGAGAGGGGAGAGGAGGAGAGGAGGGAAGGGATTACAAAGAGGCCCAAAGAAACTTTTTAGCTGAACTTCATTGTGGTAAAGCGTTCACAGGTATAAACTCATTATATACCCACTTTAAATATGTGCAGTTTCTTGTATGTCATTTATACCTTAATAAAGCTATTTAAAAAAACAATTTCCTAACTCTGTCCATTGAAATGACCTAGAAATAAAGTCTGACCCAGTAGCAACGACCCAGACTGTGGTCTTGAAATACTATTTGCACTAAAAGGATCCAGGGATCCTTGAAGAAGTGTCTGGTTCCAAGTGTAGGTCAGGAAACTCATGAGATGAACACGGAACATCTTCTCATACTAGACAGCAAAGAAGCTACCAAAGACAGGACTCTTGTCAGAGAAACTCAGGAGCCAACTTAGGGTCCCATTGGCTAAAGATGGGACAATTTAAGCATCCATAATAATAATAATTGCCTTAGATTGACGCACATCAAACATGTTTTCACCTATATTCATATAATTTTTTCACCACATTCATATAATTACTTTAAAAAGTTAATTGGTCACCATTGAAGGACACTAGGAAACCAATTCATTATTTTGAAAACTGGTAAATAAAGGAAACAAATCAGCATTTATCATGCCATTCCCATATGAACCGCATTGCTACATAACCAAACAGTAGATGAGGGGAAGTTTCTCTTTTTGAAATATTCCATGTAACACATTAAGAAGGAATGATAGAATTAAAATATCACCATTTTGTAACCCCTGATGAATTCATGGATCTAAGCCAATCATCTACAGTTGCTAACATCCCCAAAGACAAAGCTGTTACATGCCTCTTGATAGTAGACTACACCACCACCTATGAAACAGTCTCTACCAAATAATCAAACCTGGATCTGTTCTAGACTCTTACTCCAATTACCATGACAGGAAATACAGAGGACAGAGGAGCATATTAAATGACACCAAAGGGATGCAATTAGCAAAATTCAGGCTATGGAAAACTCCAGGGCGAATGATGCCATGTTTTTCAACAAATATGTTGCAAGGGGAAAGAGGAAATGTATAGGTTAAAAGAGACTTAAAAGACATCAATAAATTGCAATGTGCAGACATTTTTGGGATCCCAGTTGAAACAAACTGTAAAAAATATATGGCATTCATGAGACAATTGTATATTTGAGTGCTGCCTGGATACTTAATGTTAGAATTATTAATGTTTAGGTGTGATAATGATGTTATGGTTATGCTTTTTAAAAGTCCTTTTAGAGAAACATACTGAAATATTTACAGATGAAATCGTATGATGTATGGTATTTGCTTCAAAATAATATGAGATGGAGGAAATGGATACAGGTATATGTGAAACAAGAGTGGCCATGAGTTAAAAATTGTTGAAGCCAGATGATGGGGGGTATTATACTATTTTATATATACTTTTGTATATATTTGAAATTATCCATAATAAAAAAAGGCATTTACTATGGATTAGACACTTTAAAGTATGTTTCTCTATTTTGTTCTGTCCTATAGGCCTGTGAATGAGGTACAATTTTCTCCATTTTCAAACTGAGGCCTTTCTTGTGTGAAGCCACCATTGCCACTGGCTTGGACTTTTACAGTGTTCTCTTAGGTGTTCTCCTTGCCCTCTCTCTAACCCCCTCCAATCCATTGTCCACACGGCAGCCCAAATACTTCGAGTGTATTAACCCACTAAATTCTCACAACAACTTAGTACTGACATCATTCTTGGTTTTCAGATATGGAAACTGAGACACAGAGAGGTTAAATAATGTCCTCAAGTCCACATAGCTAGGAAGGTTGAACTGTACTATAGTCTGGCTTGGTTGCCTCTCCTCTGTGTGTTTATACCATACTTCTATACATGGAAAATAAAATCATGTATGAATATACAGGATCTGCCATATACTGGTTTAGCGTATTGGTTGAGAGTATGGACACTGAGCCAGACTGTGAGCTTTGGGCAAGTTATTTAACCTTGTGGTCCCTCAGTTCCATCATCTGTAACTAGAGATAATATTTCCTGCTTCATGGTGTGTGTGGAGTAGGTGTATTAATCTGTGGAAAGCAGTAAGTGCTATAAATGTTAGCTATCATCAGATGTTACCTTTAGCTTCTCTCCTTTGCTTCTGAGAGCTCATGTCTCCCTAATACTTTTCACTCCAGCAGAGCCACTGTCAGCTCCCTAAATAAGCCTCAGTGTTCCCTCTGTCTTTCCTACAATGCCAAGCTGGCAAATCTTTATTTATCCTTCCAGCCCCAAATTAAGGGTTACCACCTATGTGAAGATCTCCTGGGAGAAGTCTGCTTGGTTCCTAACTGCATGTATAATCGCTCTTGTTTTGCCCTGTGTGTAGTTAGCTGTTTCTGTATCTCTCTTCCCTACCAAACTCATGACTTCTTGAGGGCAGAGACCTGTCTTTATCTCTATATGGAGCAGAGAGCTGGGACCAAGTGTTTAGTAAATGTTGGTTAAATAAACTGTTATGGGCGTGCCTCTCTGGGCAACTATGAGCCAAAGTTGGGAGTTTTTCAAACTTGGAAGTAAATCTAAATAAATGAGAAAGCCCCAAATGACTGAAAAGTATACATATGTGTGTATGTGTTTTGTATATATACTACTGTAATTGCCTATATACTTATCTGTAACCCCACTATCTTGTTTGTTGTTGAATCCCTAGCACCTAAC